TATTTTTACAAATACAATAGAAAGTAAAACGTATGAGTATGTATATGAAAATATATTTGTTTCATATCTAAGTAGTTAAACCAAATCACAATAATAAATATGAAATATGTAATTTCATATTTATAAACATAAAAACCAAAACTTGTGTTGTATATATATATGACTACATATATATACAAGGAAACTAATAAAATGTGTGTGTATATGATATTGAGTTTAGAATATCTAACACACATAATATAAATCTAAACTAATATACCCAAGCAATCTTGATTTTCAATAAGCTTGACTTGGTACACTATGCGGATGAAGCTGAACTTGGATCTTGAACTTGAATTGCATAAGCTTCACTCCAGAATTCCGCCAACCTCCATTTGATATCGTCGTTGAAGCGCTATTCCATCCATCCTCCAACATATTGTTTGCCTAGAATAAATATAAAACATAAATACTAGACAAACAATATTAGATATAAATTGTTTGTAAATCATCATCAAAACAAGAAGGCCAATATAGAGGAGGAGGAGAAGCCCGTCAGTGCTCAAACCCAAATCAACCGAACGCTAGCTTATGAAGAGATGAAGAAGTCGGCCAAAATCAAGAGCTTCTGAAGAGTTTTTATCTTAGCAAAGTTGAGGAGTTTGAGAGTTCTTAGAGGAGAAGAATTTCTGAAGTGGAAGAACTCTTGAAGAGATAGAGTTTGGGGAAGAAGAAGAAAGCTGGAAGTTGAAGAAAACTGAAAATAGGGGAAGAGATAAGAGGCTGGAACCGAAAATTAGAAGAAGAAAAAGGAATAGGGACTTAAGTCCCCAAGATCAGCCCCCTGACCTGCTCTTATGCGGGTCGGATCGTCGCCTGACCCGTGAGCACGCGGGTCGGATAGATCTGACCCGCGCTCGCGCGGGTCGGATAGATCTGACCCACGTTCGCGCAGGTCCGATCGATCTGACCCGCATTCGCACGGGTCGGGCATGATCCGGTGGTCGTTTTGTTGTATTCCCCCTCTGCTTTCACCCACTTTCATACTCTCGGGTAATTTTGTGGAATTTTAGCTCATATTCGGAATATTCGGGACCCACTTTCATACTCCCGGGTAATTTTGCGGTATTTTCGCTCATATTCGGAATATTCGGGATCCACTTTCATACCCCCGGGTAATTTCACGGTATTTTCTCTCATATTCGAGATATTCGAAACCCACGTATACTCCAAAGGGCATACGAGTCTAAACTGTTTTCCACTCTCGATGGAAAGTTCCTGGAGAATATTACGTGTAATAATTCTTAAGGATAACCCGGCAACCTCCAATGGATACACGAGGTTAAACTGATTCCCGAAACTCCCAGGAGTATACGAGTATAAACTGGTCCTCCTTAGGTCAACGCGAAACCCTAAGGTCAACACCGGTCAACGCGTAGCCCTAGGTCAACGTTGATCAACGCGTTGCGATGAGAGTCAACGTCGATTGATATAAAACCCTAAGGTTAATGCCGGTCAACGTGTAGCCCCAGGTCAACACCAGTCAACGCATTATGATGAGAGTCAACGTCGATTGATATGAAACCCTAGGATCAACGTTGGTCAACACGTAGTCCCAGGTCAACGCCGGCTAACGCGTTGCGACGCAGACAGTTAGTTCAAAATCAACTCAATGACACGAGCCAAAATCAACCTACTAATTTCGATTTGATACTTCGACAACGGTCAGGCGATAAATGCAGTATCAGAAGAATTTTAGCTATTCAACAAAGTACTGAATGGGCTGAAATGCGGAGAAGTCAAGAACTGAAGCCAGTTATAGGTTCTTTAACACCGATTAAAGGTGGGGTCTATCATATCCAAAGCATTCCAGACTCCTCTATAAAAGAATGAGGGTGAAACACTTTAGAGGGGGTATCTGTAGGCGTCTAAAATTGCCTATGAGAGCTCGCACGAAACTCAAAGCAAAGAGTGGACAACTCAAGAAGGTTTACCCAATCAGCTCGCGCGCGTCAATCAACACGCACACGTCAATCAGCTCGTGAGCGTCAGTCAAAACGCGTGCATCAATCAACACGTCCATATCAACCAATGCGTGCACGTCAACCAACACGCGTACGTTAGGTAGCCCCAAGTGACCGACGTGGTCGACGGTCAGTCCCGCAACGAAGCATACAAGTCAACGAATCGACCAAATACATGAAACAGTGAAAAGTACAAATCCCGAAAAGAAAAACGTCAAAAGAAAAGGAGCTCGACGGAGGCGGCGGACCCGCGCCAGCGCGGGACGGCACAGGCCGACCCACGCCAGCGCGGGTTAGATCTATCCGACCCACGTAAACGCGAGTCAGATGTGTCCGACCCGTGCAAGCGTGGGTCGGATCTGTCCGACCCATGCAAGCGTGGGTCAGATCTTGCCGACCCGTACCCTCGCGAGTCAGCAAGGCCCGTCACGCAGTCCAGAGCCCGAAATGCGTTTTTGATGGTTTTAAAACGGTTTTCGCAGGATTTATCTGTTTCAGCGGTTCCCAACTGATTTGATATCATCCACAAATGTGGATAGGTTGTTGTTAACTGAAGATAAGGCCAAATCACTCATTCTCATCCAAATACCCACACCCGAGGCCTATAAATATCAGCCTAAGACCTCCATTTTACAGATCGAGAATTTTATCAAGAGGACGAGGTGCTGCTGGATTGAGGAGTCAAGGAGCATGAAATTTCAGCGAAGGCCAACAAGATCCCGACGAACTTCAGCATAAAGGAGAAGTCTTTCGAAGGATCCGAAACCCCATACGTCCGTTCCTTGAGATTAGGCTTAGTCTTAATCTCGAAAAGAGCTACTGATTTTGCTTGGTCGATTTCAGAGCTTCAAGCGAATACTTCCTTGGTGAAGTAGGAGCTCCGTTAATTTTCCGACAACCGGATCCGATCCGCGGTCGTTCACGGATAAACCCCGTCAACGGCGAAGAACCCACGCAAGCAAGAGCCGATAAACGATTCTTGTGTTTATTTTCAAGAGAATTGTAACTTTTATTTTTTGTTATTTGAATTCGTTGTAAACGATTAAAGTTATAATGAAATCGATAATGAATGCGACTTTCGACGAAAACAAAGGAGTTTTTTTATCATTAATTGGATCACTAAATTTTTCTTAAGGTTACCAACTATACTACTGATGAGTCCCTCTTCAAATCCTACTTTCATGTGAAAATAACCGTTACATTTTACTTTTCATGTATAAAAGTAACAATAATAGTATTGAAAAGACTTGTGAAATAGTGGAGAGAGTGGAGGGAGGAGGTCATTTAAGATATTAAATATAGAGAATAAAGGTATTTAATTAAGAAATAATAAGATAATTATTAAAAATAATTATTTTTTATTTAAGTATGCATGTATGTTCATGTATATATGTGTTGTACGTAAGTATGCATGTATTTTGGAGGATGTATGTCTAAACTTGAATTGCAGGGTGAGTTTAATTTAAAAAAAACCTCTTAAGTTTGAATTTTCCCAAATAACCCTTTTAATTTTTTAACTGTCACAAAACCCTCCTTAAATTTTGGGGTCCTTAGAAAAACTTTTCAACTTTTAACATCTTAAAAAAAATTAACCATATTTTTCACATGGTTAAGTAAAATTACGAAGGCAAATATTTTTCCAAGTGATAATTGGTTTCCACGTTTTGGGGAGTTTTTTTAGAAAACATAATGTTAAAAGCGGGTCTTCTGAGAACCCTAAAACTTAAGGGGCTTCTGTTATATTTTAAAAATTAAGAGGAATTATTGACAAATGACGAATCTTTGGAGGGATTTTCTAAAAAAAAAAATCTCCTTTTTAGTTGGATGGCATCGAGTTGGAAAGTTATAACTTGGAAATGGGAGTGTGGCTCTATTGGTTTATAAGTGGGGTCAATATGTTAGTTGGGGCAAGTAGATGCATAGTCTTATTGACCGAAGTAGTATCACATAACGCCATTTCGGTTAAGGGGCTGTTTGATTGTATGTTTTTACCATGTAAAAAGATGTAAAGTATAAAAAAGTGGGTCCCAATGTCAGCTTTCATCACTTTCAATTGTTTGTTTGTAGTTGTGAAAATAATATAAAGTGATTCATATGCTGATGTGGCTTGTAAAGAGATTTCATAAAAAAAAGACATGATTTTAGGAGAAAGCTGATATTGAAATTAGGAAAAAAAATTATAAAAAATAATTCCAACCAATATGATCATTTGAGAAGGGACCACTTTTTACACTTTCCAAACAAACAATTAAAGTTACATTTGCAAACCAAACAAGCAATTTATGATTCTAATGGAATCAAAAACAAACAAAGAAAAGTATAAAAGTAAAATTGATGAGGTGGACAATAACTTTTCAAGTTGTGTCATAAATACACAACTTTACCAACAACAACCAAACAACCCCTAAGATGGATTCGCGCATGGTGAATGATGCTGACTTGATACATATATCACTCTTCTTCATCATTTTCCTGTAACTCATTTTGATGTGTTCCATCTTGTCATGAAAGACTTGATCCCTAACATGGCATCCTGACTATAGTAATATTCTTTAGTTTAGTCATGATGGAGGCAATGATCAACTAATAAGAGAGAGTCTAGCGACAATCGTATATGGTTAGACGTTCGAGCTGGAATTTAACCACGTGTCCTCTTGTTTCCTATTTGAAAGGATACCAAATTATGGGTTGGTGTTGGTGGTGTGGTTGAGGGATAATTATCATCATGCTCCTTGTATTATTCAGCTTGTAGTACGTTTTTTTTTAAATTACCTATTGGCGCTGAAGTTCACTTTTCCGTCCAATTCCAATAATTCCCCTCCTTCAATGTAATTATTAGTTTTTCCACTATAAATTTTACTTTATTTTTAATTAGTGAATTTTTATTGCACAAAGACTACTGTTTATTGAGAAGAAATTTACTACGAGAAGAAACTCTTAAAAAAATTCTGGATTATTGTATTCTAATGCCATTGATAAAGACTTTAGGAAGCAACTCTATACTACAAGAAAGATTCGCCGCCGTCCCGACCACGCCGCCGCCGTCCCGACCACGCCGCCGCCGTCCCGACCACGCCGCCGCCGTCCCGACCACGCCGCCGCCGTCCCGACCACGCCGCCGCCGTCCCGACCACGCCGCCGCCGTCCCGACCACGCCGCCGCCGTCCCGACCACGCCGCCGCCGTCCCGACCACGCCGCCGCCGTCCCGACCACGCCGCCGCCGTCCCGACCACGCCGCCGCCGTCCCGACCACGCCGCCGCCGTCCCGACCACGCCGCCGCCGTCCCGACCACGCCGCCGCCGTCCCGACCACGCCGCCGCCGTCCCGACCACGCCGCCGCCGTCCCGACCACGCCGCCGCCGTCCCGACCACGCCGCCGCCGTCCCGACCACGCCGCCGCCGTCCCGACCACGCCGCCGCCGTCCCGACCACGCCGCCGCCGTCCCGACCACGCCGCCGCCGTCCCGACCACGCCGCCGCCGTCCCGACCACGCCGCCGCCGTCCCGACCACGCCGCCGCCGTCCCGACCACGCCGCCGCCGTCCCGACCACGCCGCCGCCGTCCCGACCACGCCGCCGCCGTCCCGACCACGCCGCCGCCGTCCCGACCACGCCGCCGCCGTCCCGACCACGCCGCCGCCGTCCCGACCACGCCGCCGCCGTCCCGACCACGCCGCCGCCGTCCCGACCACGCCGCCGCCGTCCCGACCACGCCGCCGCCGTCCCGACCACGCCGCCGCCGTCCCGACCACGCCGCCGCCGTCCCGACCACGCCGCCGCCGTCCCGACCACGCCGCCGCCGTCCCGACCACGCCGCCGCCGTCCCGACCACGCCGCCGCCGTCCCGACCACGCCGCCGCCGTCCCGACCACGCCGCCGCCGTCCCGACCACGCCGCCGCCGTCCCGACCACGCCGCCGCCGTCCCGACCACGCCGCCGCCGTCCCGACCACGCCGCCGCCGTCCCGACCACGCCGCCGCCGTCCCGACCACGCCGCCGCCGTCCCGACCACGCCGCCGCCGTCCCGACCACGCCGCCGCCGTCCCGACCACGCCGCCGCCGTCCCGACCACGCCGCCGCCGTCCCGACCACGCCGCCGCCGTCCCGACCACGCCGCCGCCGTCCCGACCACGCCGCGAGCCCAATCACGCCCCCACGGCTCCTCCTCCGTCATCGCAAATCTGCCGACTCCCCCTCGCCACATTAACAATGGATGCCTCGTCTTCTCATCGTGACATTCTCTTAGAAGCCGCCTCCTCGAGCGAGCAACAATGGGCAATAATAACACCATTTGCTGAGAAGGTAATACATTTTATTATGAAAAATTATACAATTTGCAATGATGAAGATTACATACTTCAATCTGCTGAATTGTCCATGTTACTTACAAATTGCTTGTTGAACCACTGGGAAAAATCCTCTGATGAATTGAAAAATCTTCCTAGAGTAAGAAAGAGTCTGAAGGGAGGCAAAATTTGCTAGAGGGGAACTAGCATCAATTCTAAGGCATTTTTCACATTCACGTTGGCTCTGATATGTAATGACTGAGGCCATCTTCTTTGACGAGCATTTGGTCAAAGGTGTTGAAAAACGCACATAATATGAGTAATAGCATATCTTGGTATCAATCGTGTCTTGTCTCTTAAGAAAATGTTATGTCTACTCTTTCATACGCACTAAGGAGAAAATGGTATATCTACTCTTTCATATGCACTAAGAAAATGTTATGTCTACTCTTTCATACTTTCAGAATCCTCCCATCTGCTGCTCTTGTGGAATCTGATTATGCATTGATTAATGCTCATAATGTCCTTCATCACCAAAGCACGTCTTTGGGAAAATTAAGCTTTAGAAACATTCACGTTGTTAACATTGTTCATAGGCTCTTATTATATCCTCTTAGTTATGTTAGTTTTATTCTCTTATAGTAAAGTTTTATTTTCATTGGCGAGTGTTAACTTGTTCATAGGCTCTTATTAAAATTTGTATGCTTTTTTAATTATGACAGAATTGCGTAATGGGAGATATTGAAATGACGGACATTGCACCCGATGGCTCTATCTTAGACACTAGTATTCCACTAGATGATATTACTCCATTTGAAGGGAAGGAGTTTATAAGTGATAAAGATGCATACAACTATTACAATGCTTATGCAAAGAAGATTGGGTTTGGAATTCGCAAAGACACTTTGGAGAAGTCAAAGAAGGCTTCAGGGGAGATTCATTCCAGAACATTTGTATGCAACAAAGCAGGGAAAAAGAAGGTGCCGAGAGAAAATGAAAGTGGAATAATTAACAACCGCCGACCGGAAACTAGACTTAATTGTGATGCAAAAATGAAGATTAGGTTGACTTCTTCAAAAACGTGGAAGGTTACTAAGTTTATTGCAGAACATGTTCATGCTTTAACAAGTCCTGACAAAGTAGCACATCATTATTCTCACAAGCAACGACATCGATCAAAGACTTGTAGAAGCTTCATTGATAGCTTGCATGAAGAGGGAATGAAGCCCTCTATTCGACATCATAGCACGAAGTCTAAGGGAGTTCATTCCCTTAGCACAACGTTACATGCGGAACGGATTTAGACAATCCGCATGCTAGCCCGACTCAAACGGTAGTCGGTAAAGGCTAATCAAACCCGTTGAAGGCTGGGGGTTAGCCAAAAATCCTAAAGTCAACACCTAACACGTGTCGCCGGGTAGCCTATTCCCGTAACAATGGCGAAGTCTATGTATTCGACATCATAGCACGAAGTCTAAGAGAATTCATTCTCTTAGCACAACGTTACATGCGAACGGAGTTAGACAATCCGCATGCTAGCCCGACTCAAACGGTAGTCGGTAAAGGCTAATCAAACCCGTTGAAGGCTGGGGGTTAGCCAAAAATCCTAAAGTCAACACCTAACACGTGTCGCCGGGTAGCCTATTCCCGTAACAATGGCGAAGTCTATGTATTCGACATCATAGCACGAAGTCTAAGGGAGTTCATTCCCTTAGCACAACGTTACATGCGGAACGGATTCCGACAATCCGCATGCTAGCCCGACTCAAACGGTAGTCGGTAAAGGCTAATCAAACCCGTTGAAGGCTGGGGGTTTGCCAAAAATTCCATGAGTATTATGGTCAATCATTTCAAACGAAGTGAGGAATCATAATAAAGATAAAGATAAATCAGTTCCATTAAAGAGAATCAAATGTCAAGGTTTTCAGCAAATAAAATCATACATCAAGCCCATGGCTAAGAACCTGCTGACTGAATTCAGACAGCTTCTCATCATAAGAGCGTCTAAGCTCCTCCTGCAACTCAGCTCTGACAGACTCTTCGTTCGCGGCTAAAGTCCTCACAGCAACCTCCTCTGTCTCAGCCAGTGTCTGCTTCAAGGACTTCAGCTCATCAGATAAAGCAGCATGTGCTTGCTGATTTTGCATCTTTGCGTCTTCCTTCTCACGGAGTTCTCGTCGGAGCTGATCTATCTGAGAATCAAGCTCCTCAAGGGAAGATGATCTAGTGGCAAGATCAGCCTCAACTCGATCTATGCGGCCCCGCTGCACCTGAATCTCGAGCTCGGCAACCATCCGAGTACTGCGCCATGTCTGTAAGCGAGCATCCAACTCGGCAGCAACGAATGAAGAGGCACCTGTATCCCGGAGCTCATGAAACATCTGAAGCTCACGCTCTAAGCGATCAAGGTCATCAACCATAGCCGTCGCCAGATCCGGACATCCTATGTCCCTAATCAAATTTATCTTGGAATCGAGGTAGGGCTTAAATTGGCGAAGAGAAAGTCCGTCATGGAGGAGTTTGCCAATTATAGCAGTCAGGGAGGAGAAATAAGAGCGGACTTCTACGCTGATGATGATCTTCTCAGGGTCATTCCCCGATAACAACTCCTTAACGAGGACATGAAGCTGAGAAGGAAACCCTACACAAAGAAGAGAAATTCGTCAAAAGCCTCAATAAGGAAATGAATGGCTTTGCTCAGTTAATTAAATTATACCTCCTCCCCCTCGAGTCACTGGGGGTGGTGGAGATGTAACGACTGTAGCTGCATCGACTGGTGGAGTTGGTCGTACAGCCGGCTCAACAGGGTCAGCCTCAACAAAAGCCCCTGTTAGGCACAAAACAGAAACATCATATTATAGTTGCATTAGTCAAGGAATTGGCTAGTCCTATAGTTAGCTTGAGAAGAGGCACGCACCTTCAAAATAACCGTTCCCGGGAGTCTGAGGGAGTACAGACTCAGGAACATATCCTGAGGCGGCTGGCCATCGATCTGAGGAGAGTCATACATGAAGCAGAACATAGAAGTGTCCATAGGCAGGCCCTCCCCATCGAAGTCATCAATCGAAAAATCTGACA